CGAGGACTTTTTGAGACAAAGACTAGTCAAGACGGGCGACAGCGACGGCCGTCCAAAATGAGTTTAGAATTGAAAAAGTAAGGACGTCAGGGACGGTACATAGGACAAGTTGCAGTCTTGTGTGTAGTGGACGAGTTTGGACTAGTCTAAATGGAAATATGTAAGGATGAAGATTAGATTCGAACATGCGTACAATGTATTACTTACCCATTGCTTAGACCATTGAGCCATATGATCAAGAAATTAGCTTCTACATAGTCATAATCATTTTAAGGTGCTATTTAATACAATTTTAAAGTTTTTTATGTTCACATTTAAGTAAAAATTACTTTTTACAGAATATGACATTATTTGGACAACATTAAAAAAATAATCCAAAAAATTTGTATATTTTTTGGAAAAATATCTTTCGATTATCATTAAGGAGAAATAATTAGTTGCGTTAAAAAAAATAAATTTTAAACGTAAAAATAAAAAAGCTATTTATATTCAAAAGAAACCAGATTTCTTCATATAATGGCTTAGTTTTAGATTAAAATTACCATATCTTCAACTAACAATTAAATTAACTTTGCTTAATTTAAATATATTCTTAAATTTAAAATTATTAGAATTTATATTTAAAATAAGACAACATAAAATTATGACATAAAAAAATTTAAATTATTCTTCAGTTTTTTTTAAACATAGTACATCTAATAATATTAAAAAATATAAATTAATATTCCTCGCTACGAGATGAATATAGTTCATTATACTTACTCCTACTTTTTTGTTAGTTTTGATATACTCTTACATTTTCAACATATGAAAATACAAAATATAATAAGATATATGATGGCAGGAGTGCACAGAGCATATTATCTATTCTTGACCTCGTTGTTGACTACAGCAGACTCTCTGATTGTCATTCTACCTAGAGAAATATTTATAATATCTTGGCGAGCGATATAGTTTTAATATGAAAAAATGCGTCTTATTAATTACCGTAACCATAATATAATAGATCAATTTTGATCCTCAATCCAGAAAGATTTGAATACAAGACAGGCAATAAAACGATTGTTATCCTACTATCTAGTTCATAGATTAAATGTATTTGATATTATCCATTGATTATTTTTAACAAACGATATAGATATTGAAAACTTTTTCTACTTGTATTCTTACTTTCATTACTGATCAGTTTAAACGAATTAACAAGATATATTTGATTCAAAAAAAGTGGGTTGTTTAGAGTTTTCAGACTAGTCTGACTAGAACGGGTGACATACTCTTTAAAAAAGGACTAGTCATGACGAGCGCAGACGACGCTTCGGACTAGTCTTGACGCTATGAAATACGTTTCAGACAAGTCAAAGTCGTGTGACATCGACTGGTTTCTGATTGTCTAGTGGATGGACGAGAGTCAATTTGGTATCTTAGACTGTATAAATTGACGTCAGTCTATCTCAGTGTCCTAGTCTACCATCAGGATGCCCGTCCGGTTTTGAATACTGTCGGGTTGGATGTTCGAATCTATCTCCATCCTCTTTTTTTTAGTCTTCGGACTAGTCTGGACGGGTTCAAAGGACGAAATGGACTAGACATGACTGGGTTCAAGGACTTTCTGGACTAGTCCAGACGTGTTTGAAGGACATTTCTCCAAAAGATGACTAGTCATGACGGGTGTGCAAGACGTTTCAGACTAGACTTGACGGGCGTTGCGGACATTTTGGACTAGTTATGGACGCCGTCTTTCGTTATTTTTTGCTCACTTGGGCTATCATTTAAAAAATTTAGACTTAGTCTCCCAATTTAGTGAATGCTTGAACCTTCTTCAGTCAAAAGGATGTTGCCGCGTATGAGTTGTACACGTGCTATCTAACATTTGACTTAATGTATATTGTTCAAAAGAAAATAAACCAAGTCCTGTGGAAAAAGTTTTCGATTCATAAAGTTACACTAAGGATGAGATTTGTAACATTTTTTCAAATATCTAAGTTTGCTCAATTCTAACGATTCTGTCAGTCTATGTATTCACGAAAGAATTTCACATAATATGAGATAACTATTTTGAAATTAAAAGTAATTATAACTAAACATAATAGAAGATAACAAAGAAAAGTCACTTTTAGAAGTAAAATCCGCGTGAAATATTTCGAACTTTTTGTTTGAAAACTTTCATAGATTTTTATTGTAATTAGTGCATTTTTTAATATTTATAATTATACTTTGATAAATAAATATAATCTATATAAGTAAGCCTTTGAAAAAGATTTTTTACTAAGCAAATTCATTGTAATGATTATGCAATCAAGAGGATCAGAGTTTATGAAAGTTGACATTTAGAGTAATTCCCCTTATAAAATCAAAGTTGAATTTTTTATGTAACGGAAGATGTGTTCAAATCTTTTTTGAGAATATATGTATAGTTTTTTGAAAAATCGCCATTTTGAGAGGTTCATTAAAGAAGATTCGAGCCCTATTATCATGTTTTGAAGAACACCATATTTTCCATTTGCATCATCAGTGAATAAATCATTTTTTGTAATAATTATTAAGAGTCCACTAACATTACTAATATTCAACGTAAGAATTTTGTTCTAAACAATGAATACGGTTCAGAAAAAAAATCATTTGAAAATGTTTTAATGAACAATCGATTCTATCGTTTTTCTCAAAATATGATTCTTGAGCGTCTGTCATACGATTGAAGCTTTTTTATTTGTTTTAAACATCTAAATCCGAGTCAATTTTTGCCCTAGTAGATTATTTATATGTAATGCTTCTCTTGAATAAAGTAGGATTTTGTGTTGCAGAATCAAGTTTTTTTATGATTATTTGAGCACAAACAAGTTTGAAAATTTTTTTTGAGGCAAAATTAGCCTTAATTGGAAACCATTCCATGTCCTCTATCTCTTATAATAAGAGACTGTTAGCTATTCTTCTGAAGATCTTAAATGACCAATGAGTTAGCTGCAAAGTCGACCTATTGATTTCAAATTTTTACCAAAAGTACTTCTCATTAGGGTCAATCAGCTCTAAAAATTTCATTCCAAATGGGTAAATTGATTGTGAAGAGGGGAGATGTCATTAATGATTCTAGTTAGGCAGAAGAGAAGGAGTGAAAAGTTTGATAAGATTTATATTTCCGGTTCAATTCAACGATTTAATTCGGCAACAGTATCCAGAAAACGTTCGACATTATACACAAGTAAAGACTATGAAGAACGGTAAACTCATGGTGGTGAAGGAAGCTGATAAATGTTATGTACAACTATCTGACTTTTGCAAGAAATATTAATTTTGTTTACATGTTTGTTGCTATTTTTAAAACTAAATAAAGTAACAACAGAAGAAACAAGAAGACAAAATAATCTGCAATTCATATATAGATATTATTAGATAGATAAAATGCAAAATAAACAACCTCGATTTTTTTTTTGATTGTGCCTGTTATTGTTGTACGATGATCAATCAGCCATCTCACTAAACGTACACTAAGAAACCAATTATCTGCATAAATGGAATAATTTTTATTTAGAAGATGGCCTGCAAGATGTATCGCAATTCTTTCAGGAACAGGCAGTGTCTGAGCATCAGGAAAATTTTCAGCCCATTTATTTGTATCTAAAAAAAAGAAAAAAAATATTCCAATAGAAGAGACGATATTCTACCTTGTCCAGTATAAATTTCAAAATTATGCAAAAAACCATTAGTGGAATCGCAAAGTGCAATAGTTTTTATTCCGAAACGTGCACGCTTTCGAGGATTATACTGTTTGAAACTCTAGTTTGAAGACAAAAATAGTAGAACTTTGTAATCATAATATATTATACATACCATTCTTCCTCTATATAAAAGGAGAGTTTCGTCAACAGAAAGATTTTTTCGAGGAGTATACATTGAAATGTATAAATCTTGAACCATTTTCAAGAAAGGTCGTAGTTTTTTTAGTTTATCGCTCTTGACCATTTGATCGTAATTTGAAAATCTCAGAAATCTAAAAATACGAGTTTACGACTTTTATTTGAAATATTCATCACTCTTACCGAAGAATTTGAAAGAACCGATTACGAGACAAGTAATTTTGTGTATGAAATATTGGTGTGTTTAGAAGAGGATTAGTTGACCAATAATCACGTATATGTCTTTTTCGAATCATTCCCATATGTATGCACATTGCAAAGAACTTTTTCATTTCATTACAAGTAACCTAGATTATACAGATCCATAAATTATTATAATAAGTCAATTTTATCTCACATCACCCCAATCATCTTTCTTCTCAGGTATATTTGTAAAATGCAGCTCAGCACGACGATTCGTGCATTCCACAATGTAGTTGAATAGAGAATCAGGAAGCATCTTTTCGTAAAAATTCGATGGCACTGGGTTCGATGGAAGAGAAAAAGTACCCAGGTGATTCGATCCGACTGTCGGATTACGTCGGATTATATCGGATTATATCGGAAAAATTACCGGATTTTAACGGATCCGACGGGAACTCGTCGGAAGTTGTCGGCGTCCTAGCCACAGGATTCCGACAGGAGGTTCCGGATGTCGGAATAATCAGGATCCTGCGAAATCCCTGAAACTCCGACACTTTCCGACATCCAGAACCACTTGTCGGAATCCTGTGGTTAGGATTCCGACAAATTCCGGCGAATTTCTATCGGATTCGACAGGGTGAATTCGACCTGGGTAGGTCCTGATGGTTCATTGAAATTTGATAAACAGTTGGTTCTACAATCAGTTTCCGGTGAGACAAAAATCCATTCTTTTTTCGATATATTTCCCGCACATATCGATTCTGTTGTTACAATTTTTGTTGGATAAATATTCTCATCATCACTATACAGTAATACAATTAGATATTATGTAACATCGGTATCGTTTCATCACCTGTATTCCTCGCTTTCTTCTGTTCTTGTTTCATTCAGACTCATATTGTTCAATGAACGAATTACTTTGCTCGATTGATATATTGCATCAGTATCACTAAAATTTAGTGTAATTCATGACCTCTTAGATACACAACTTCTCGTTTATCTCCTGTATTCTTCACTCCCTGAGTGGTTCATTTGTTTCAGCTCTTCTTCTATGTCATCAATATCGGAATTATCAAGAGCCTTCATATAATTTTCTACTTCATCTTCTTGATTGATAACATTTTCCTCTTGACTTGATGCCATTTTGATTATTCAATGAAAAATGATGTACATATATTCGATTTTATGAATTGTATATTTTTCTCAGAATCTAGTTCGTTATACTTTATTGTTCATTACACGTGTTCCTTTTTGAAACATCAAGTTGACTTTCTTTTATGGCTAGCGATATTAACACTAGATTTCAAATACAGCTGATCCTGACGACAGAACGCAAGAGAGAGATATTGAACTTCTTTTTTTCTTGTTGATACAGAAGGCAAGAAAATGACGGGATTGAAAGGGTTAATGATGATCTGAATGATGATGTATGGCCGGATTATATTCTACAATTACAACAAGAAAGACAAGAAGTGATAAGCCAATATGATCGTGAAATTGATGAAACAAAATCAAAATTACAAGTAATTACTGATGAGTTAAAAGCTATTAATAATAAATTATACAATTTAATTGAGATGAAATATGAAAAACGCGAAGCACTCTTAAAAAAGATTAATGAACATAAAAGAAAATACAAAAAGTAAATATATTTGTAGAAAAATTTAATTTTAACTTTAATTTAAGTAGATCACGTTTTAATAAAGTACAAAAAAAGAAATGTGTAAAGCGTATAAAAAGTAAATTATTTTAATGCTCATCAATAATAAAACTGTAAGTATTATGATGAGATATTTTTAAAAAATCTGTAATATAATTATTTATATCTTTTAGGTTTGATGCACTAACATTCTAATGTAGTAAAGGTACAACATTGGACAAGCTGGCATCATTTTAAATATTTTTTTTTCTTTGTTCTTTTTTTTTTGTATTTTTTATTCATTCATTGTACAATCAAAGTGATGATAGAAATAAAAAAATTATTATTTATCCTGAAGACATTAAAATTGAATTATTTTACAAAAACATATGAGGCACTCAAAAACGTTTTTTCCTTCAGAATTTTAATGAAATATTGTAAGGTAGATTTTCGTATAGTCTTGAAAGATATTATCTCGAAAAGTCCCAGCATAAGTATCCTAAGTCAAATAAATAATCGAAAGAATTTTAATAGAAAAATGACTTGGAATAAAAAATAAGTCCTTATTCATCTCTTGAAATGTTTAAGTTTTGATTGTAGTTCATGTTTAGATTATAATAATAATGATTGATAATTATTCACATTGCTGAGTAGATGTTATATTTTATTGATCTTCCATACATGTGTTAAGTAGATAATTTAACTTACATATTATTTGAGAGAACATTTATCAATACTATAAGATCCATGATCACCTTGTCTTGCTGTTCTATCTTTTATTTGTCTTTCTTCTGAAAGAAAAGTTTGAATTACATCAACACTACCATTTGTAACGACAATTTGATCATGACATACAAAATCTGTTCCTCTATCAAAAGTTGTTTGTAAATAATATTACTTGACCTGTTGCAATGGCTGGTTTAATTAGAGTTTCTTTTTCTGCTAATGACACTTCTTCGGTTAGATAAATAACTGAGTCTTTGAATGAATCTAATGCTGTTGAATTATAGAATTCTTTTAATTTTTGTTTTGGAGGGGAAAAAAACACTAGAACAGCACGTTTTCCTGATGCTGTTCCAACTAGTCTATCTTCAATTTCTCGTTTTATTACATTAAAATAATTATTCTCATTTTCAATCATAATATCATCTCTTGTTGCAAAATTAAGATGATTCATGCCAAATACAGATGGCACATATGTCATTTTTGTAATCTTATATACATTTTGTATTATTTTTATTTAAGAATTACTTAAAGTTTTTAAAGTACTTGTAATACCTCTAATATAGTGAAATTCAAATGGTATTTCAGCATAAGAAAAACTATCACAATTAATTCTTGTGTACATTTTATTTTAAAGTTTCTTTAGTAATATTTCCTTTTTCATATTCATGAAAATAAGCAAAAAGAGTTTTATAGCCATAAGCAATATTATAGACAATATTATCTTGTTCTATCTATCTGATTTGTTCTGATTAACGATATAACTGTGTGATTCAAAATTTTTAATATCAAGAAGCATCACTAATCGACGATCTCGCCTCTCGTCTTTCCAGATTCTTGCTTTTCTTGGTTATCAGTCAAGATTCTTTTGCTATTCCTTCTATACAAGATTCTTGCCTGAAAAAACAGATCTTGACCTTCTGGTGATATTCTTGTAGACAGAATCTTGTCTGATAGGGCAAGAAATGTCTCACCAGGCAAGATTCTTGTGTTCTCGTATTCTTGACTATTCTTTGTTTCTTGTTATTCTTGCATGGCTCTTGTTTTCTTGAATTCTTGCCCGAATCTTTTTCTTGAGGTTCCTGACTGATTCTTGTGATACAGATGAGGCCGGTTTTTACATCAATATGATTCTTTCCTTGCGTTACTATTATATTTTTATTATCAGTTTCAAATAAATACACAAAAAAATAAACGACAAGTAGGCCCGTAGCCAGAAATTTTGTATATGCTGGATTTCAGCTTCAGCGTATGGGATCCAGATGAAACTTATGGAGAGTAATATTGAGCCCAAATGATGGGTTTTATGGAAAAGTTTTTGCGGTCTGAGCTTGCGGAAAATTTTTTTTTTCTGAGCTCCCAAAATTTTGTTTGCTTTTCGTAGTATTCCTTTTTTTAGAGTGTAATCATAATCTACATCGAATTTCATCGATAGATTTAAAATTTCATCTAAAAACATGCATCCTTTCAGAAGTTATAACGCTTTGAATTTTT